GTTAAAGCAAGTGCTGCAGGACAAATTACTTTCAGATGCAGGTCCTTGATATTGCATGTTGGTAAACAGCTGTTTTAAGTCGAGTTGATGCTGACAAAAATCATTTCTTGCTTACATTTATGCACAAGCCAGATATATGCAATGATTGACACAGCAATGAGACAGCTTCATTGCAAGTATTTAACTCAGATCACCATAGGTTTGTAGAAGAGTTCACAACATCACACCAATAACTCAGCGAGGACAGACATCACTAATTAGAAGAACAAAATATACAGCTTGTTGAATACTGAGTTTGGAACTTTGCAATGTGGAACTTTGCATTACGGCCCTGTTGGGACAGTGTAGGGTTCTCCAAACCTTGAACTAAATTTGAACTGATTGTTTGTGGAAGAGTTTACTTCAGCATGCCAAGCATGATATGGAATCCCAATAGTTTTTGAAGAAACATTAATAGTTCTGGCAGAGATTGGATAATCCATTTTATCCAGCGTATTGAACTTAATCTGTCCACTTTCTTATTCATATTTTGACAGTCTGCAATGTCAAATATAGATTAACACTTTAAGCCAAACGGGCACATCACATACTTTTTTGTTGCTATGCATTATATTGGTTTATAATTCAATTTTCGTTGTGTTCATTGAAATTCTTGCCTTCTGATTAGCTGAACTGGTCACTTGTTATTGCTTTCATTTCCCAATGAATGTAAAAAATTAAGCCACGCCCAAGGAGGCGGACTACTTTTATTACTATGGAATGTCGGGAATTCCACTATCACAGTAGAGGGAATTCCCTTTCTGCGCACGTGTATCGTCATGCACAGGACATTAAGCGAAATTCATGCATATTCATTGCCCAAACAACTCTTTGAGCCTGAAGGCCAAGAAGGAAATGAAACAGCAAACGTGCAGGCTCGCTCGCCTGTTCTTTTTCCCGCTGGCCTCGGTTCCACAACTTTTATGTCTTCATGGTTTCATTTCCAACTGTGTCTTCCCGTTCTTAGGGAACTTATGTTTGAATCTGGCAGTAACTGACCATGTCATTTGAAACCGCCGCCTTCTCCCGAACTTATTTGTTCCGGTTCGTTACCCTCTGACTGTTGCAGTTCTTCTCGCCTCTTGCCTTGATTGACAGGTCCTATGAACTTTGTTTTTATCAGACCCGTGAAGATTCCGGGGTAGAATAGGTCTTCAGCAACCCATGCTTGCCGTAAAAGGTGACTATGCTTGTCGTAAAAGGCGACTAACGGGATCAGGTGGTCAGGCTCGCTGACTTGGTTGATACATGTCATCGATCCCAATTGCGTGGATCGATGCTCATGATGTCAATCACTGGATTGTCTGGTCCAGACTCGATTATTTACAGACTGCCGTCATATAGCTGGAATATTGCTGAGTGAGGCGTTAAACAACAAACCAACCAACCAACTTGTTTTTATCATTCTCTCCGTTGATTGGCTACTGACTTTGTAGGCGTGTCATGTGATGTGCATAAATTAAAGTCACCTGATTCATGTCAAGCCACAGTATGTATTCCTACACCCGGAATGTTTATAAATGTTGTCATTTTTTCTGCTTCGATATATTAAACTGTTATTGGTTTAACTATTGTAGATAAAACATGTTTTCGTTGTCGAATTTAATTTTAAGCATTGACTGTGTATTTTTTTCGGTTCATTGAGGTATGAATCGAAAAACCGATGTGCAAACTTTTGAAAGAATCCGCTATGCGGATTAATACAGTTTGCACATCGGTTTTCCGATTCATACCTCAATGAACCGAAAGAAATACACAGACATTCCTTATATGTTAATGCCTTAACATAAATCTACAATAGACATTAATGGTCAAGCGATATCCATTTTCAATGTACAGATACAGATCTATAGATTTTCATCTCTTGGTGGATGCATATGGTAATACTCTTAAGGACTTGAGTTTTTCACTTTGATTTAATGTTGAAAATTTAATGTGATGAAAGTAAGCCATTTGGAAAGATATTTAGTCTTACTTTGGTCCCCCTTTGCCACAAGGCACTGTTTCCGAAAGTGTTTATGAATTGATAAGATGCATGATTACTTCACACCAACTGAACATTTCAGACACAAATAAAGAAAACAACCTCTGGGATGTCTGACTTCAAACTTTGTGGACCAAAACATCTTAGATGTGAACCGTACCATTTTGAATTGATCACAAAAAACAGCACTGTGTGCTCATAAGTGGTGCACTGATTGATGATATGATCAGTTTACTAATACATAAATATGTGCCAGAATTCACATAATTATTATACAAAGCCACATACTTTAGTAGTGTACATGAATAGCACTAAATAAGCGAAGTTAAGGTAATATGTATATTAGCTTGCTGTTCACTATTTGCTTGCAGATAGCTGTTGTCATCTATGTTCATAAAGATATATAGAGGTTATCACGCGAGTGTGTTTGGGGATGGTAAACATCCTGCATTAGGAATAAACATTGTTTTTAGCGAGCCTTGGCGACCTAAATACATAGTGTTTATTCCTAATACAGGATATTTACCATCCCCAAACACACAAGCATGATAACCTCTTTATCATATAATGTCATGCTTTAATTCTGTGCTTTAAAATCGCTTTCCCTCTCTCACAAACATTACCAAAACATTGCAAGTTTTCCTGGAATGCGCGCATTAATATTTATTACGTCACAGGGTAAGTGATGTGTCAGTCGGACAGTGACAGTAGCCAATATAGTTCCAACTGAAATCTGTTTCTTATACAGTGGCGAAGCAACATACACGCAAAACAACAGTTGTTTTTAATTGCCTTTCGCGGCAATCCATCGGTCTGTCCGCTAGAGTAACTGCCCTTTGTCAAAGGGAAGCTACTCTAACCCTAGTCTATGAGACATCACGGCCACGGTCAGACGTTGCTGACAGTCGGTCTGTCCTGTCATAACGTTAAGAAGTGTAGTCAGATGTACACACAGCGACAAAACCAAACAAGGTAACAATTCAAATATATTTCGGCCAAATCCAACTTTTTTAATTTGTGGAGAAGGTTTCAAGTCGCAGAGGTCTACAAGCACTGATATTGCTACTGATCCCGCTTGGCTAGGCCTCGCGCCCTCGCAAAATTGTTTGAAATTTATACCTCCAAAGTAGCCAAAACTTATAAAATGCCTTAGCTACGTCACAGTTAGACACTGATTTTCAGTATATTAGACTGTTCTTTTGATAATGATAGCAATTATCCCTGTTGTTTATCCAGATTCCCGATGGTTAATTTTGACTCGATCGCCGAATGACGAGGACGACGCCATGTTTGTTTATAAACAGTGAAAGTAGTCCTACTTGACCTTTGATATTTGCATCTCTATCCGCATATGACCCCAACGGATATCGTTTTTATCCGTTGGCTTTATCCTGCCGAGAAACCTGCCCATTATATGATAAAGTTATTTATTGTACAATCAACTTTCCAAGAAATATATGTTGAGCACAGGAGGATATTGCTGTAAAGAGCTTGAGGTCAGGCAGATATGATTCTATTTCAGCATACATCTTTATCGCACGAGTATCAGAAGCAGTGCAGGCTTTGTTAATTGGGTGCACAGATTAGATGACTAAGTACAAGTTGACACATTTTAGGATTTTGAAAAGGAGAGAAAGTACTTCGCATATAAAGAAGAGTATTTTGACATCATAGTTACATTGTTTTTTTCTATTTATGTACCCACCAAGGAAGTATACACATTTCATTTGTATCATCGGGGAGAGGGCGGGGTCAGGTAGCCTAGTGGTTAAAGCATTCGCTCGTCATGCCGAAGACCTGGGTTCGATTCCTGATATGGGTACAATGTGTGAAGCCCATTTCTGGTATTTCCCCGACTTGATATTGCTGGAATATTGCTAAAAGCGGCATAAAACCATACTCACTCACTCATCAGGGAGAATGAAGTTACACTGATTATGATGTCATGCGCCAGTTACATTAATTATGTCATCAATAGTCCACTCTTTTTTAGTTCTTATAGCAAAACAGGCTTTGGTTAAGATCTTCTTAAGACTCAAAATTTGAGGTTTGCTGCAATATAATGTTTTCAGAGTTCAAAAGTGTTTTCATTCATTTGTTCTGTTATAAAATGCTGAGATTTGCCTGGATTTTGTGGAACATTTTTTAATTACGTTGGTTATAGGTGGATACAAAGGAAATGGATTTTTTTACTTTATCATACTTGCGCTTGACTGCTAATAATTCTTTTTGGTCGAGTTGTAGTGCTTTTTAGATTCCATCTTCAAAGAGTGCAGTGACCTTATGTATATATATTTCTTTGGAAATTTCATATCACTGATTGTAGCTCCAGTGTTCCAACTGTAGTTTTGACTTGCCTAACCTTAACATGAATGGTGTTTTATACAGTGGGGCTGCAAGAGAAAACATGTTTTTGAATAGGGTTAGAATAGGCTGGGTTATTAGCTGTTGTTCAACTCTAAAATATTGATTGATTTCTCAATAGAAGGGAAGCAAATTTCTGGTAAACAAAATTATTGGAGGGCTGCTCACTCTCTTCCACTCAAATCACTTCTTGCTTCTTATTGTTTTGTGCATATATTTTTGCATGACTGAAAATGACTGTTATTGTCTAAAAAGTGCTCTAGCACGGTCACAGTCCAGCTTTCTAATTAAGAAAATTGCTAAAACGAAAAATACTGACAGTGGTGATTTGTTAGTGAATGTCATGAACACATGACCTGCTGGGCCTGATTTACAGCTTCGAGAAGGTTTGCTTCTTAGAGTAAAAAAAGATGGTTTCTGAGTAGTTACCCCACGAAATGTTTATCATTTATAAGGTTGTGTGTTTTTCTCCTCCATCCAACCAATTTGGCCCCATAAAATCTGTTATACCAAAATCTGTACCGTAATTGGTACAAACGTTTTTTTATTCATCTGGGCTTTGGTTTATACAACACCTCAAATCATTTCTAATAATGTACATGCTATCTTTCAGTTGAAAACCTGGAACACAATGATTTCATAGCACTGAGAAATATGCTCATAAGGTAAGTCACTCATGGTTCAAATTCATGAAATTTTGGATTATTTCGTACCAAATCGCATTTGAGATAGACTATGCATCTGTCACATGTAATGGTTGTTTCAAATGTCAAGGTCACTTTGAAGGCCATTCACTCATGAAATGACTTGTAAATAGTTACATTCAGGAAGTATTGTTGGCATGGAATGGAGACTTCATATATGTAAAACAACTAAGTTCGCAACAAGTAATTTTCTCTTGGCAGTTGAAGTTTGAGGTTGAAGGTCATGGTAATTAAACTGGAACTGCTTATTACTTTGTTATTAAGGAAGCCAAAGGTATATATAGGGACTTCTGTTCCAAAGTTGTTCTGCATTGGGCATGTGTTTTCTAAACACATAAGTGATAGTTTTAAACTGGAAGTGCTTGTATCTTTGTTAAGGTAGCTAGAGCTATGGAGACTTGCTGTTTCAAAGTTGTACTTCATTGGACATGTGTTTTTATAAACCAGAAGTGATGTTATTGAACCAGAAGTGATCATGGCATTGTTATCAAAATTGACCAATTTGAGCAAAATAAAAGTGTTATCCACAATTGCCTGACAAGGGCACTTAGTTTGGAATGCTGGATAAATCCTTGGGTTTTTCGCCAACAGTAAGTGATATTATTAAAATGGAAGTGTTTATAACTTTGTTATTAAGGTAGCTAGATGCATGGGACTTTCTGTTTCAAAGTTGTACTGCATTGGGTAAGTGTGATGTCAAATATCACCTGATGTGGTGAAGCTGAATTGGTTCATGATTTATGTTTTCTATTGGAGTTTTTTGCATTTGATCTGGAAAAAGTGGGGATGGGTCTACTTGTTTTTCATATGTAATGCAAATTAATGTCTTTCTAGTTTAAGAATAATGTTTGGAGTGCATAGTCAATCCAGGTGAGCTGTCTGGAGGTATTCAGTGGTCTAAAGATTGAGTATTTGGACTTTTTTTAGGACTCACATGCAGGACTTGAAGGATGTTACCAACAATGTCCACTATGAGAACTACCGCTACAGCAAACTGGCTCCTGTTGGGGGAGATGGGAAGGTTAAGCCAGGCTCACTCACAAAGTAAGATATTTATGGATGGTTAAAGTCACGAGACAGTATTTATCTGCAGCTGGAAATAAGTATGCTCAGAATCGAATGGATCATGGTTTACAGTTGCCAGCTGATAATATCTTGTTTAGCATCTGATGGATCATTGTGTTTAATAGCCAGCTGATAACCATTGTGTTCAGCATTTACTGGATCACTGGTTATAGAAGTCAGCTGATAACCATTGTGTTGAGCATTTACTGGATCACTGGATCATTGGTTATAGAAGCCAGCTGATAACCATTGTGTTCAGCGTTTACTGGATCACTGGATCATTGGTTATAGAAGTCAGCTGATTACCATTGTGTTGAGCATTTACTGGATCACTGGATCATTAGTTATAAAAGCCAGCTGATAACAATTGTGTTGAGCATTTACTGGATCACTGAATCATTGGTTATAGAAGCCAGCTGATAACCATAGTGTTCAGCGTTAACTAGGTCACTGGATCATTGGTTATAGAAGCCAGCTGATAACCATAGTGTTCAGCGTTAACTGGGTCACTGGATCATTGGTTATAGAAGCCAGCTGATAACCTTTGTGTTCAGTGTTTACTGGATCACTGGATCATTGGTTATAGAAGCCAGCTGATAACCATTGTGTTCAGTTTCTGATGGATCATTGTTTATGGCAGCCAATTGATAACCATTGTGTTCAGTATCTAGTTGATCATTTTTTATGGCAGCCAGCTGATATACATCGTGTTGAGTATCTACTGGATCATTGTGCATGGTAACCAGCTTATAACCATTGTGTTCAGTATCTACTGGATCATTGTTTTTGGTAGCCAGCTGATACCCATTGTGTTCAGTATCTACTGGATCATTGTTTTTAGTAGCCAGCTGATACCCATTGTGTTCAGTATCTACTGGATCATTGTTTTTAGTAGCCAGCTGATACCCATTGTGTTCAGTATCTACTGGATCATTGTTTATCGTAGCCAGCTGATAGTCATTGTGTTCAGTGTCTACTGGATCATTGTTTTTAGTAGCCAGCTGATACCCATTGTGTTCAGTATCTACTGGATCATTGTTTATGGTAGCCAGCTGATAGTCATTGTGTTCAGTATCTACTGGATCATTGTTTATGGTAGCCAGCTGATCGTCATTGTGTTCAGTGTCTACTGGATCATTGTTTTTAGTAGCCAGCTGATACCCATTGTGTTCAGTATCTACTGGATCATTGTTTTTAGTAGCCAGCTGATACCCATTGTGTTCAGTATCTACTGGATCATTGTTTATAGTAGCCAGCTGATAGTCATTGTGTTCAGTGTCTACTGGATCATTGTTTTTAGTAGCCAGCTGATACCCATTGTGTTCAGTATCTACTGGATCATTGTTTATGGTAGCCAGCTGATAACCATTGTGTTCAGCGTTTACTGGATCACTGGATCATTGGTTATAGAAGTCAGCTGATAACCATTGTGTTGAGCATTTACTGGATCACTGGATCATTGGTTATAAAAGCCAGCTGATAACAATTGTGTTGAGCATTTACTGGATCACTGAATCATTGGTTATAGAAGCCAGCTGATAACCATAGTGTTCAGCGTTAACTGGGTCACTGGATCATTGGTTATAGAAGCCAGCTGATAACCATAGTGTTCAGCGTTAACTGGGTCACTGGATCATTGGTTATAGAAGCCAGCTGATAACCATTGTGTTCAGCGTTTACTGGATCACTGGATCATTGTTTATGGCAGCCAATTGATAACCATTGTGTTCAGTATCTAGTTGATCATTTTTTATGGCAGCCAGCTGATATACATCGTGTTGAGTATCTACTGGATCATTGTGCATGGTAACCAGCTTATAACCATTGTGTTCAGTATCTACTGGATCATTGTTTTTGGTAGCCAGCTGATACCCATTGTGTTCAGTATCTACTGGATCATTGTTTTTGGTAGCCAGCTGATACCCATTGTGTTCAGTATCTACTGGATCATTGTTTTTAGTAGCCAGCTGATACCCATTGTGTTCAGTATCTACTGGATCATTGTTTATAGTAGCCAGCTGATAGTCATTGTGTTCAGTGTCTACTGGATCATTGTTTTTAGTAGCCAGCTGATACCCATTGTGTTCAGTATCTACTGGATCATTGTTTATGGTAGCCAGCTGATAGTCATTGTGTTCAGTGTCTACTGGATCATTGTTTATGGTAGCCAGCTGATCGTCATTGTGTTCAGTATCTACTGGATCATTGTTTTTAGTAGCCACCTTATACCCATTGTGTTCAGTATCTACTGGATCATTGTTTTTAGTAGCAAGCTGATACCCATTGTGTTCAGTATCTACTGGATCATTGTTTATAGTAGCCAGCTGATAGTCATTGTGTTCAGTGTCTACTGGATCATTGTTTTTAGTAGCCAGCTGATACCCAATTTGTTCAGTATCTACTGGATCATTGTTTTTAGTAGCCAGCTGATACCCATTGTGTTCAGTATCTACTGGATCATTGTTTATGGTAGCCAGCTGATAGTCATTGTGTTCAGTGTCTACTGGATCATTGGTTTTAGTAGCCATCTGATACCCATTGTGTTCAGTATCTCCTGGATCATTGTTTTTAGTAGCCAGCTGATAGTCATTGTGTTCAGAATCTACTGGATCATTGTTTATGGTAGCCAGCTGAAAACCATTGTGTTCAGTATCTACTTGATCATTGTTTTTGGTAGCCAGCTGATACCCATTGTGTTCAGTATCTACTGGATCATTGTTTATGGTAGCCAGCCTATAGTCATTGTGTTCAGTATCTACTGGATCATTGTTTTTAGTAGCCAGCTGATACCCATTGTGCTCAGTATCTACTGGATCATTGTTTTTAGTAGCCAGCTCATACCCATTGTGTCCAGTATCTACTGGATCATTGTTTTTCGTAGCCAGCTGATACCCATTGTGTTCAGTATTTACTGGATCATTGTTTTTAGTAGCCAGCTGAAAACCATTGTGTTCAGTATCTACTGGATCATTGTTTATCGTAGCCAGCTGATACCCATTGTGTTCAGTATCTACTGGATCATTGTTTTTGGAAGCCAGCTGATAGTCATTGTGTTCAGAATCTACTGGATCATTGTTTATGGTAGCCAGCTGATACCCATTGTGTTCAGTATCTACTGGATCATTGTATTTAGTAGCCAGCTGAAAACCATTGTGTTCAGTATCTACTGGATCATTGTTTTTCGTAGCCGGCTGATACCCATTGTGTTCAGTATCTACTGGATCATTGTTTTTCGTAGCCAGCTGATAGTCATTGTGTTCAGTATCTACTGGATCAATGTTTATAGTAGCCAGCTGATACCCATTGTGTTCAGTATCTACTGGATCATTGTTTTGGTAGCCAGCTGATAGTCATTGTGTTCAGAATCTACTGGATCATTGTTTATAGTAGCCAGCTGATAATCATTGTGTTCAGAATCTGTTATTTATGGTTTGCAACTTATGATGATTTTGTACAGAGACCCACTGACCCAGATGGCAGAAGAGAAACGTGAGCATGACCTCAAGATGAAGAAAATGGAGGCTGAGATGGAACAAGTTTTTGAGATGAAAGTCAAAGAGAAAAAACAAAAGCTGAAGGACAGTGAGGCAGATGTGAGTATACACAGAGATCATCAGACTGTTTTTTAAAAAGGTACGTTGAAACAGGCTCCTAAGCAATCCTGTTAGTATGATTTTGTTATCACTGTGAAAGTCGCATGGAAGAGTGATCCAGATATTTATTATTCCTATGAATACAAAACCTTTATTACATCATTGACATAATTCCTGTATTTTGGCAGTCATCAAATTATAAAATCTTCAGATTTTCAACAGAAGTCTTCTTGACTGTCAACTATGTAGAAATAGTTGTGCAACAGATACTAGCAGGGCTCCAGATACTTTTTCAGCATCTTGAGTATGTACTCCTTGTTATATCAATATAGGAGTACTGGCAAGACTAAAGAGTACACCTAAGAGTACTGAATGGAATTTAATGGATTAATCTTAAATGTCATTTTAATATGCACCACATCATTGCTACTCTTGGGTAAACAGGTTCATAAACAATAAATAATGCTTTTTCAGTTGTAAATGGGGGGGGGGGGGGGGGGAATTCGAGTATTATGAGCAAATATTTTTTACAGTGTTCCCCTTAAGCAAAGTCAAGTAAACGGATTGGTGATAGCAAACTTAGTCAATACAAATTTGAAATTTGAGATAAATCATGACTAGACATCACTAGTCTTATTTTAGTTGCAGCTTTGTTATGTATATTTGAAATGATAATAACCATATTATAAAGCGTAGTAAGAGATGCCGTTTACCATCTGTGCAGATAAGGGTGGTCTTATACACAGTCTTCTTGATAGCAGTCAGTATACCACCTTTAGTATCGTGATGATAGTAATCAGCTGTCAATATTCTGCCTTCAGTATGACGACCCAAGTCAATATTCTATGCTAAGTGTTATGACCCTATTAATCAGTTGTCAGCACTCTACCTTCAGTAATAATTATCCTCGTATTTAGCTGTCTGTACTCCACCTTCAGTATGACAACCCTACTATTCAACTGTCAGTACTCTACTTTCAGTATTATTACCCTAGTATTCAGCTGTCAGTAAGTATACTATTAGTTATAGGTGTCTTTAGTTGTTGTATAAAGTGTGTCTACGTTAGCAGAATAATGTTGGGAAAGATGTAAAGTTTACATTATCTAGTATCTTTATTGCACATGTCATGTAAAAATTGAAAACTTGACACTTACAACCTGTATAAATGACAGATCCAGTACATATGATTCCGATACAACAGTTAAATGTAAACACAAACCTTAACAATGGAACATGTTAGGCACTAAATGTGAACGTTTAAACACTCATTATAGCTAAAATGGATAGTTATCATAAAAATGCCTGCATGTTATCAGAAATCTGCGGGCCACTGTAATGTGATAGCAGCCCACGTTTCCCTCGCGACAGGCTGCAATTGTTATGCGATGTCATTTGTTCCACATTTCTATTTTGTGACGTCATCCTATATTATGTTCTATGATGTTCTATAAGTAAACCAGTGAGGTTTTTTTTATCCTGCCGATAATATTTCGTTAGTTGTCCGGGAGTGGTGTGGAGATTAGGAAACTCACGGCAGAACAGAGAGGTTCTCTCTGTATATTGGAAGTCCAGATCAGAAAACGTATCAGAGTTAAGAGTTGATCAGAAATATTATCAGGCTCCTCGATGCTTCCTTTAGGTATGTGTTGTATTTAAGTAATACAGGCAACAAGACACTATCTGAGGACCTTGAATGTATATTTATGATAACTTCCATCATAGATAAATGGACTTGAGCAACCAAGCTAACTTGTACTTTGAGAGAGCTAACATCATCCCCGGAACCAAGGAGTGGTTGATCAGAACAAGTGACCAAGGGAGAAGGGTATTGTACCCGACTCCTAAGGTTAAAGTAACTGCACCCTATTTTGGATTGCATTAGAGCATTTCGCTGCTGGGGTCATGTGTTCGAGACGCAGAGTACTTAAGGAATTTTTTTTTAAATGGAAATAAAAATGAAACATGCAGCAGACTTTATGATAATGTGGGTGGTGCCTGAGAACCAAGACCATTTTTTATATGCCTGGAAGAGTAACTTAGAGGTTGAATATGTGAGTATTTGGGGGAGTTTAGGAAAATGGTGTGACAGGGAGACTTCTGTTTTAGCATATATACATATGTGTTTCTAGTTTCTGAACCTTTTCACAGATACAGTTGACAGAAATATTCTTATATTTGATGTGGATACTGAAATACAAATGCCACCATAATCTCAGAAGGCTCAGAGTTGAAACTTTGTTTAAGGAGATTTAGCTGTTGCTTTTTATTATGCATAGTTACATATTACATTAATTGTTGCAGATTGAGAAACTGTTGTAGTTTCATTACCTAATAGTGGTGAGTTTATGCAGAAAATACAAAGTTTCTGTATTATGAAAAACTGTTAAGTACATATCTAGGCTATAATACCATTGCACTGTTTAAGTGTCTAACATTTTGTATTGTGGCTCTTCTGACAAGAGTTTAAGATGAGTATTGTTTTCATGTCAACAGCTTCAGAAGCGAGCAGAGCAGATGAAGAAGAGTTTAGAGCAGCAGCAAAAAGAATTGGATGACAAGTACAAAGTGTTTGAAAAGGAAAGGCAAACATGGGAAGAACAGTATGGGGAAAGAAGGAGATCACTAGAGAATGCTAAAGAGTGAGTCAAGAGATGAGTCAGCTCTTTAGCTCACCTGACTGAAAGTCAAGTGAGCTTATGGCAGAGTGAATTGTCCATCATGCCATTCCTTTCATTCATTCTTAGTTTGTACATTTCCGACATCACATGACCTATGAAGCTGGAATTTTTTTTTGTAAACGATCACAGCTATTAGTCCAGTAGGAAGCTGGGGTGCCCATGCACCAAAAGATGTATTTTTCTAACTTACATTTTTGTAATCCCCATAGTGTCTAGTAAATGAATTTTGATCTTCCCAAAGCAAAATATTGGCCCATGGTGTCCATTGGTGGCCATATTGAATTTCTGAAACAAAAATCGATAGTCAGCATAGACTTGGCACATAAACATATGAGACCATTTTTTAGACTATTTTGAGCACAAGAAAGTGATTGAAGGGGTTAAGTTCATGATAAAAATATTATCTAAACAAGTTGGGTACACTAAAATAGAAAAACTTGAAAAAATCAGTATATACATACAAGGCAAATTCCTATTGTTTCCATGAAGTCTTTAAAGAACAGTATTAAATGTACTTGGATTGATAGCTATTCGTAAAAATAACAAATTATGAGTTTCATTTGGTCACAGTAAAAAATAAATGATTATACTGCTTGTGCAAACTACACGTTGTAAGGTATGATTTGTTTGCCTCACTACATCTAATCATGGCACATAAACACATGAGACTATTTTGGTGTGTAAATTGGTCATGAGAAAGTTATTGAAATAGTAATTTTTATGATAAAAAGATTATTTAAACAAATTGGTTACATTAAAACATGAACAACCTTAAAAATCAGCGTAAGCGGTACGGCATCAATAGAATTCTAATGTTCTGGTTAATGTCCCTGTCATATGAAGCTCTAGATACATTCTGCCAGGCCTACTGTCAAACTATTCCCAATCGGACATTTTGTACATATCTCTTGACACCAACAGCGGTTACCCGGGTAGGATCGGGTAATAGGGGTGTGGGTACCCGGGTAGTATATTTGGACTCGTCCCAGCCCTAACTACTGTCATTTTACAACTTATCATCCTGAAAAAATAAAAAAATAAGAATAAGAATAAAAATCCCAAGTCAACAAATGAGCTTCAGTGCCGTGGCACTGTTTTAAATTTTGTTATTAATGTTTTGATATTTATGTCCAGTATCTTTAATGTACATGCAATTAGGATGTCTGTTGTATAGAAACTTTTGTTACTGTTGGGTATTGTTGGTTTCCTAAATCTTATTACATATGTGATCTAATGTTGCAAATATTCCAGAACAAAATGAATGAGTGACAGCCTCATGTCTCTTTTTTACACTTTCTGAAGGACAACAAAGTATAAATATCGTACTGTTGTTGATTTAGTGATAGCACAATTATGATCTGGACTAACATACGCCTATCTGTCTGCCAAATGTATAGGCCGGATTGCAGCAGGTAATGGTTGATGCAGCAATAACACTTCACTAGTTTTCATTGGCATCTAAAGTCACTTAACGCCACTAATTTTATGTTCAGTCTAACACTGGTGTGTTCACATTAGTTTTTTAAGTTTATGTTGTTATCTAATATGAAGGCCATTATTCAACCACTTCTGTTCAAACTGTTATGGGCTGAACACATGTTTCAGCTTTGGTTACCTTCGTTGGACCTCTGCACTTAGAATCATGATCCAGTCCAACATTTCCTTACACCATAAACCTTACCTTCCCAGAAACCAATGGACCAGTAAAGCTAGAACTTAACATGCTTATTTCCACCAATGATGACATCTAAAGTTCAAGAGGTTTGAATCAGATTTTCAATATGCAGCCATATTGAAAAAATACTATTTATGGCCATAACCCAACTATTTCTTTTCAAACTGGAATGAAATTTGGTACATGTGTAGTTTGCAATGGTGGTCTTCAGGGCGCACGGGTGGCTCAGTCGTCTAAGATGCCGCAATTCGCTATGCCAGAAACCTATGATTGTGGGTTCGAATCCCGGTTCGACCCGATTATGTTTCTAGGTTTGTCAGCACCATACCCGTGCTCGTGGGTTTCACGGAAGTGGTAAACCTCTGAGACCTGCATCACTTAGGGCTTTCCTCCCACATTAAGCTGACACTCCGCAATGTAACTGGAATGCTGTTAAAAGCAATATTAAACCCAACTCACTCACTCACTAATGGTGGTCTTCATGTATTCCCCTTTTTTGCAATATCTAAATTTAATCTGTTTTTACCAAGCTCTTGAATTCTCTCAAAAGAAATATTCGGCTCTGTGGACCTCTTCTCCCCTGAATTTGCAAGGCATGTATGTGTCTCCTTGGAATGAGACAATATTATGTTCAAATCTTTTTCTTTTTGTCTTCGTTTATTAAAATATTTTAATATCAATGCTGACAGCCACTTTTTTTAGATTTAGCCTTCTGAAGACAACTGTTGATAAAATAGCGATGTGAGTTACAGTGACTGTGGGGCATTACTTTTTATTTGGTTTGTCTGTCAGTCCATCCGATTTTCAATGGAGACATATTTTTCAAACACTATTTAAGTGAGAGAAATAAAATTTTACACACTGATGTTACTGGACACAATCTCAAATGAGGCCTTATGGCCTTTGCTTACAGAGTTAGCTCAATGCTTTTTATATTGCATGATATGGGGACACACTTTCTCGGAAAGTTCTGAAGTTTCATGAATTCAACTTTGCAAAAAAAATAGCTTATCAGCTAAGTCTGAGTTCGAGAATTGGTGTCATAATTTTTTTTCCCTGAAACAGTCCTTTTGTGTGTATTAATTTCACATTTAATCATTTTTTCAGATGACATTAAGTAAACCTAGTGCCTATTTCTGATTAAGGTTTTTTAGGATACTTTTTTAATAGTTAACATAACTTCCATAACACTGTTTTTTGGTTAAATTCTACAATACATTTGGTAGTGCGTTATTTTATAACTCAGATACAGTAATCACTTTCACATATGTCGTACCTTTGCTCCCTTGCACTACCACTGATTCAGAAAACAGTGCCACACATACACTTTGACGTTTTAAAGAAATTAATGTGCAACCATTCTTGAACCATCAATAAGACTCTGACAGTCATTAATGCTGTCAATGCTACTGTCGAAGACAGTTGACATGCGCATTGTCAAAGGACACACCCAAATGAAACTCGCAATAACTATTTAATGAGTAGGCTTCGCGTATCATTTAAGTTACGTGTGGTATGCATTAATGCTAAGCTTGCAAAATGTCAAAACTTTCAGTAGTTTATTTACCTAAAAAAAAAGTTAAGACAGTATCAGCCAAACATCTTGGCACACAACAACAATAAACAGGCATTGTTTATTTATATTTTATTCACATTTAGCAGCAATGAGTCCTATATTTTCTTTATAATTTTGACATTTTTCAGATTCGATTATGTTTTTTTGATGAAAAGAAAACACCCAAGTTCCCTAATTTCTTAAAATTAGCAACTTTGGGTATAATAAATTACAAACATATAAACGTGTGATGTGAATTGTAACATCATCGATTCGATGAAAGTTGTACGATCATGGCAACGGCAATAAACAAATAAATTCACATGCATCATGATCCCGTAATACTATTACAATCCATTTTATATATCTAAATTTTTTTTTAGAATTATTGACACGGATGTATAAATCTTTGTAAAAAAAAGTAACTCCTTTTTATCGAGTTTGCTAATGATATCGTTTGATAAACTTTTGGACGCTGACATGCTGTTGACAAATGTAAGTAACGTGTTTGGGCGAAGCCTATCCTGCGATTTTTTAACAAAATCAACAAACACTGCGAATTATGAAAAATATTGGATGATACACAAAATCTGAACATTCTAGGTAAACCATTCAATAGCAAAGTAATGCAATTTTATTTGACTTTTCTGAAACCAGAAGCACGCACCGCATGTCACACATGAAAGTAAAATATGCAAAAGTTGGTAAGCTATCATCAAGAAAATTCTGAAATAGATTCAAATTCAAAGGAAATGACTAATAATAATAACAATAATTTACTAATTATCGTCACCTGTTTAGCAGACCTGGGTAGCAGTCTTCACTCCTATTTGTTTCATATTTCTTCGTGATTGCTGCCAGTGCATAACATCAAATTTGTAAGTCTAAATCTGAAAACCGAGAGGATTCCACACTCGATGATTTTAAAATAATTTTCTGAAAACAGCGACAGCGGGGAGAGATATGCACAACAGATTGATATCCCATTATAATAACAACATAATATTGTTATTGGTCTGTCATTGCAAGAAGGACAATTTAGAATGTTTACCCCCCTCCCAAATCTTCAGAAAGCATATAACTAGGTCCACGGCAACTGGATGAATGTTGCGCCCATGTGCTTTTGTACCCCCCAAAAAGTGACATCTTGTCACTGAAGAAGAGGCCAGTTAAATTGGTAAACCCTAAGTTAATTTTAGTGTTTTGATAGGAAAATGATTATAAAAAACTTTTTGATACATAAATTACGGGTACATGTATCTTTGAAACTAATACAAAATTATAGAGTCGAACATCTTTACCTGGGCTCACCCTAACTCCACACCTACAGGGCTGGGGTGCACATGAAGATCAGCTACCCATGCTTGCCATAAAAGTCTACTATGTTTGTCATAAGAGGCGACTAAAGGGATCGGAATGTCAGGCTCACTGACTTGGTTGATGCATGTTATTGATACCAATTGCATGGATCGATGCTCATGATATCAATCACTGGATTGTCTGGTCCAGACTTGATTATATATAGACCGCCGTCTTATAGCTGAAATATTGCTGAGTGCGGCGTTAAACAACAAACCAACCAACTACAGGACCAAACAGCCTCAGGGCTGTGGTTCGACACACAGCGTACCTGGAACACTCAACTCACAATCTCTACCGACAGTTTCAGTTCTTTCATCTAATGGTTCGTCGGGGGCTACAATTTCTAGTCTGGCACATCCCTGAATGTCGGAACATTCTGGCGGATGCATTATCCAGACTCCACCCAGAGGCGTTTCAGCTGGTGTATCAGCAGTTTGGTCAAAAGGGCTAAAAGCGTACACTTTTCCACCTCCTGTACTACTTCCCAGGTTGATACACAAAATAAAAGCAAACAAGAGCCTCACTCCGATTTTGGTCATGCGAGGTGGCCGGCGAGGGGGTGGTTTGTAGATATCATAAGCCTGACAGAAAACAATCCACTACCCCTGCAAATGACTCTCCCCATAAAGGCAAATTAGGAGTGGTCGAATCTACTTATCCACCCCCACAGCAAACTACCACACCCAGGCAGATTTCACCTGCATACTTGATTCGTCTTAAAAAAGCATTGAGCACTGAGGACTTTTTGGCGCAGGCAGCTAAAGCCATTGCCTTGTCACACACCCATTTTGGGGGGATATATGACGATAAATGGCGATCATTTGAAACCTTCTGTGAGGCAAAAAAATCAAGATCCCACCACTTGTAGTGAGAAGTGAATGTGTATTAGTGTATACATATATGCTTTTGATTTTGACCTACTGCCAACTGGCTCTTGCTACCCTCCTTGCAATCTTGACAACATATGCGAACACTTCCATCCCCGCCCTCTACGCTACTAACCCTGTTTGATGTAGTGAGTGAGTTGTGTTTAACGCTGCTTTTAACAGTATTCCAGTTATATCACGGGATGTCAGCTTAATGTGGGAGGCAAGCGCAAAGCGATGCAGGTCTTAGACGTGACACCCACGAGCACTGGTATGGTGCTAACAAACCTAGAAACATAATCGGGGCGAACTGGGATTCAAACCCACAATCATAGGGTTCTGGCATGCCCAAGGGATGCAACTCTGCTTGTTTGATGTATTTTTGGAGGATACATGGTTCCTGGCACTTCCATTATGTGTTTGTTAAATCTTCATACACATGCAAGGGTGCAAAGGTAAAATGGGAAAAAAAATCAACAACAAAAGCAACATATGTCTCCACTGTTGCTCATACTTTTGAAGAAAGGTTTGTCTTGTCCAGATTCCAGTTAAAAGTATGAGCTTTAACCATGGTGATAAATTTTGGCTATATGGCCAAGCAAACTGACACAATTAATACAATGAAACCCAATCACTGCTCTGATATGAGTAAAAACGTTGAAAAGTGCAAAACAAATAGTTAAATGGTTATTTTTCTTGGAAAAATGGTTAGTATGTGGCCAGGCTCAGTGTTCAAGGAATTGAAGAAAGTTATTGACAGCAGTAACATCGTCATCAGAGATTGAGATGGGCCTGGACTGTACTCTCCCCAGACATGTCCCCCTTATGGACCCCTCATGGATGTTATGTATCGCTGTCGGCCACATCGTCCAGCCAACCGGCAAGAACTGATGCAGGCACTCAAAGAAGAATGGCGGCCTTTTCCGCATGACTTCATCAGACGACTAACTTTTTCTGTGCGTCTTGTAGCAGGGGGTAATACACACTATTAATGTGGTGTGTCATTGAACATGAGCAATTTTAGATGTGTGTGCCCTTTGTGCATTATGTTGGAAACTTGTTTTTTCTACCCCACCTCAATTCAGGCAATTGTCATGCCAGTATCGAATGCTGTCATTTTCAGTGTTGCTTTCATTGAGTATTTGATCTTTTCACTACTTTTTTAGTTCATGAATCTATCTTTTGTGGTTTTTAAACTGGAGTGATTTAATACTATGGTAAAGATTCTTTTGGCCATCAGTTTATCACACTGTCTTCATGCGCATCTGGTTACAGATTGTGCACTCTGTATCCCAAGGACAAAAGCCTACGAACAGAATTGTTAACTATCCAGCGAAAAATGTGCTTTTGAGATCAGAATTCTGATGTTCCTGAGATCCGTTACAATTGAGAATTTCAAGCTTTACACAAGGTCCCTAGAACAACTGCTTCCCTTGTTTTGGGGGCACTCAATCACATCAGCCATGCATGTTGGTTGACGGTACCTTGGTGAGACATGACATCACGTCTGGAAACTCATCCAGCAATCAACAAAATGGAAGGTTTGTTGTTAGAAAGACAACTTGAGCATTCACGTCCATGGCTATTGACCAGGCTCATGAACAACATACAAATAGAGTGAAGAGTGACGGCTGGTTGGAGCCCAACTACTGCAAACACATCACAAACAGAGGAAGCAGTCCAAGAAGACGTGTTCAAGAATTCCTGGAAAATGGGACTCTTTCTTGACATCATCGGCCAAGAAAAACAAACTATTCACCTTTTTGACAGAAGAACTGATAACATCCCAGGACACAGTAAAACAAATCTTTGCCACAAGTGGGAATCTGGTTCTGAAACAAAAGGTGGCTGAAGCTAAGGGGCCTATTTCTCCTTGTTCTCAATAAGAGTCACATACCAAATGGTTCTTGCATGCCTTGAATTTGTCTCATCATGAACACAAACGTTTTTTGCTTAGAACTGTGGACACTGATGTTGTTGCCAATGCATTATTGCATTCACTGGGTATTCACGTTTTTGGATCGTGATCAGAACAGGGAAAACTTCAGATATATTCCGATACATACTGTCCCTTCAGGAATTGGAGAAGATGTAGCCAACGCTCATGGTGCATTTCACGCATTTACTTGTTGTGACTAAGTGTCTTTCTTTGCAACCAAGGGCATAAAGACAGTATGGAACACATAAATAGCAGACACAGAAGTCATTGATGCACTTCAAACACTCGCAAGTGGACCTACTAAAGATGTCATGAAAATCTTCCCCATTGTGCAGGGCTTTGTGTGTCTGATGTATCACAAAACCAACACCAGCAGCAATGTCAATAAGTCCAGAAAAGAACTGCTCACCAAAAACGGACAATCATCTGAGAACAAATGAAATGAAAGAGAAGTACCATGATACCAAATATGAGAAAGCTATATGAACAACTGAGGGCCTAACATTTAAAAATGTCCAAAAATAAGGATAAATTTGGTAGCCATCTTGGATTTTGTGGCCATGTTGGAAACATTATGGCAACCAAGTATCTAAAAATAATCATATGAAAGAGAAGTACCATAATACCAAATATGGTAAAATTATAAGAACTACTAAAGGCCTAATATTTACAAATGTCCAAAAATAAGGATACTTTTGGTGGCCATATTTGAAAATATTGGATGGCCCTATAGCCATAAATGTTTGTACTGGGTACTGTGTACCAAAATGTCATGCTTTTAACTTAAAGTACACAGTTTAGTCAATAAGCCGCTCCACTTTACTGCTGACAGTCATATACAACATAACTCGCCCACTAAGCACAATCATTAGCTTTGTTGTGATTGTTGAATATTTTATCTGGATCTCCTATAGTATTTCCATAACTCTCTCAGCATTCCAGTTGTCTTTTCTTTTCCACGCATTCCGATTTCTTCATCTTTGTAAAAGGTAGAAGCACTTGTGCTGAACAAGTTGTCTGATTGTCAACTTTCATTGATAGATCTGTATTTTATTCTCAATATGCATGGCTTCCTAATTAATGTACCGGTATATACTTTATATCTGCTCATTTCATACAGAAAAGACTGGGAATTGTATATTTAAAATATAGTATATAATGTATCGGTAAGGATTGTGTTCTTTTGTTTTAACAGTACAAAGAAAGAGAAGAAGAGGCTCTTTTAAGTGTCAATTCAGAACCTCATGCATCTGTTGGAGTACATGCTGACCAACTCATTTCTGCTGTGGCTCCCTTATGCTCCCAGAACTCTCCAGCAAGCAACAAGTGCCAACCGTGCAGCACCCTGTCTGTGTCAAAAGGAATATTCTAGTCTTGTGACACTCAAGTCATCACCCACAGGGTTCATTCATTTCTGAAATTACATTTCTCAACTAGCGTATTAAGCTATGAAAATTAGATTGTGATTGTTAATTGATACCTTTCATTTCTGGTAAAACAGTGTCTTTATGATAGTGTTGGTTTTGGGGGTACCATTTCCTTAGACCCTGAATAATTGGGTGACTGTCACAGACTGCAGTCACTCTTGGAACAAAATTTATTTTTTGAGGTTAATTCAAATGATTCTTCTCTTGTTTTGAAGCTAAATCTGTATTTGATATACTTTTAGCCCCATCACTATGATCACAAGTTCTCTGAGAAAACATGTAAAATTTAAACAGGTTTTGTCAGATTATTAGTTGTTTTATTTTCCTGTTTTTGCTTGTCAGTATGCAATTTTGCATGAACAAGGTAACACCTGGATATAGTTGGACATTGGTAATCAGTAAGTTGCAAACAGTTTCAAATGGCTGTAATTCCTTGTAAATATGAATAAAGTCTGTTCAAATGTGTCTGTAATTGTTTGTATGAACCTAGTGAGCTGCATAGTGTTTTGGTTTATTTTCTTTTTTCATGTCTGATGCCATATGGACCTGTCATATCAGGCTTTTATCTGCTGAGGAGAAAATGCATTTGTCTTCTGTGGAAGTTACAATTTTATGGTATGAAATAGCTTCATTGTTTACAGTACCCCATACACAACATTTCAGTAATTGTTTCCCAAATTAAGTTGTGTCATTAATGTGTTTATTGTATGATTAATAATTTGAAAGGGTGAAAGAAGAAACTTGTGACATTTTGTCAAAGATTGTGCTGATGAGCTTTAAAGTGATGATATATTATGTGCAGCATTCTCTATGCAGCTGTGGTTTTTTTTGTGGGGGAGGGGGGAAATTGAGCAGTATTCTGAAGAAAACAGGGTTACAAGTTTGAGTGTTTTCCAAGATACATACGACACTTTGGCCTGTCATCTTTTTGCCCAATTAATATCATCCAACAATAATATATTTTATGGCTTCCACAATTTGAAAGTTCTACTTGACTGAAGACCAACTTCAGGATCAGTCCATGATCAGGTCCAGGTTCAGCTTAAAGGGGCACTGATCTAACGCAATTCCCCGGGACTGGTTGTTGCCTTTGTTATTGTTTTTCCCCAGTGAGTACTTGGAAGTATAGCAGAAATCTAGACTAGTTTGCGACCTCTGCTGCGCAATTCGTAAGCGCATCAGTCACTTTTTTGAGTAGTAATGGGCGTAAGGTCACATTGATCAACAAAATGAAATACTGTTTTCGAGATAATAAGGTAATGTAGGTATCTTTGTGGGTAGCATCGGTAATGGTGATGAAGTTTTGATAGCAAGTCACTTGCTTTGTAATTTTGCGATTTTCGTTTACACTATTTTGACTTGCAACACAAAGTAAATATTTCACCTGAGCATTGCTTTTTTTATAGTGTGTATATTTTTTTACTGTCAAAATGTGTTAACATTTTCAACTTTATTAAACGTCTAAATATTCAGTTATTTTACAAAGTGACTGAAAAACATTTCCATCTGTATTATTATGATAACGAATTCCAAACATTTTGAAGTTTAATGTCATCACCAAGAGACTGAAAATGTTACGTTGAAAAGTACATTTCTATGTTGTTTGGCTTCTAATCCTACATAATAATCTGTTGTGATGTTTGTAGGCCCTTTTGATCATCTTTATCAATCTGGACAGATTTTTTAGTCAAAATGACTGAAATATTTACACATTTTATAAATTGCCTGAGAGAATCACATTTTACAAATTGACGGTAATATATACACGCTTACAAAGGAAAAGATCTGTGAAAACAACGTCTATCGCGCATTGAAGAATTTCCCAACCAAGACGTAGAGAAACAAGAACGAATCGGTTCAAATGAAGGAAAACAAAATGCAAAACCATAATTGCAACCTACCAAATTTATGTGTATAAAATTTAGGCAGCTTCCTTGTTTGAGGAATGTATCCGTGAATATCCACACAAAGGAACAATATCCCACTCGTCTGCAGCTGTACAAAGAAACTTATTCGATGTCATGTGTCTCTGTAACAATCAAGTATTTTGAAAGATATATATCGTTTCGGGATATCATAACCCGCGTTCGTTTCTCAACTGATCACTTGGATTGTTTCAGGTGTTTCACATAGGTGTCAAGTCTCAAGGGTCGGCTGAGAAAGCCCACGTGACAACTATTTTCATAACGTTCACGGTTCCTAAAAAATCCATTGAGTGATAGATAACAATGATCAATCAATCAATATATTATCAGTTAACCCTTTGAACAAAGTATGTTGTTTTTACATCGGCACTTCACGCCATGATATGAGTGTATTCCCTTTGTTTTAGTAAACCTAGACATGTAAACACTCACTTTTGACATATCCACTGTGCAAGATAACAGTGATTTATCAATCAACGTATTTTTCCATTAATCCTTTGATGACTAGGAACGATCCGTTGATTTACAAAAAAAAGTAAATCAACTGATCATTCACCTCTTGCTGGTCTGCCATGTGCATATTACATAACACACATTTTACCTCACTTCAAACCTGGATTTAGATTGAATAATTACCCCAGACACAATAAATGCCAAATGGGAACCTTTGTCAGGTAATCTAAGTGGTGCTACCACTAATTGTACCTGTAATAAATTCATTAACTGAGTATCAAGTGAATGACGACAAATACACAAGTGTAGGGTTATACGAGAAAACGTGGATGACAACAAGCGAGTAGTAATCGTATTATCCACGCAATCCGAAATCCGAAAATGCTTTCACTGCATAGATACTTTTTTTAGTATTAAACTATAACCATCTGGGGTATTTCCAAATGACGACATCTGATGAGCTCCGCCGTTCTTTTTGTCTGTTTGTTTAGGCTGAAGAAATTAATTAACATGCGCCCTTTGTCGAAATCTTTATAGATCACAGTTAACCAATCAGTGTTTATGCAAAAATGCGTAAAACAAATATTGCCAAATATTGTTTATTTAGCTATCCTTGCAGACGGTAGCCCAGTCTCTGGTCACGCTCAGTTGCGTTGCATATCATCCGGGTACTCACGGGGGAAAAAACAATAACAAAGGCAACAACCAGTCCGGGGAATTGCGTTAGATCAGTGCCCCTTTAAGGTCTGGATAAACACACAACACATGGGTGTTTAGGTTAAAGATGTAGACTGAACATAGGGAACCAGTGTTTATATTCTCCATAGTGTGACCAAAATTAGGTGTTATTGATATTTTGTTGCTTCTTTAGAAAAGTAAAATGTAGAAATACTTGATATGACTTAATCACAAGATATTGACCCAGAAACATACTTGAACTGGCATTCTAGACCATGACAGGAAACCTGTTTACTTGAAATGAATGATGATAGTTTGATTTTTATTAGAATTATTTTGTGACCAATGATGTTTTCATCTGTGGCTTAGAATGTTATGCTGTGGGTGATGTTGCACTTTAGTAATGTTGACACTAGGAGTCCTTGTTTTGTCTGTGTCAGTATATTTTGATTGTAGTCTGTTACTTTAGTGAGTTCAGGTTATGTTGGATAGCGTACCAATATCTGTGTCACATGAATTATCTTTATCATATTCCTGTGATTGTAATTTTGTACCCAAGTAATTTTATTGTATATTCCATTGATACATGCTCATGAATATGTTGTCTTTATGTGTATTGCACATGCATAACAATATTAGCACACCTAACTGTTTGATCTGCATATGGATGATTTCTCAGTTTATTAAATGCAGCTGTTTGATGAACTATGTAACTTGTTAACATCAAGTCAGTGGTGTGTCCAGATATCCAAGCAGTGTCATAATGGCTTCACCATGTGACTAGCTCGGCACCACCGTATCTCACAGCTAATATAATTTTATTATACCAGTAACAATGTTATGTTAATCCCTGCCATTAATTGTACTATGACATGATATATATTTAAACTCTTAAATACCACATTATGTATGGTCATATTGATATTTACTGTTTATTACCATGTATTTTTAACTCACCTGGCCTGAAGGACCATGTGAGCTTATGTTGCAAGGCGTAGTCGAGTCCATGAACTGTTTTACATTTTCGAGTTCTTCTCTGAAATGGCTTGATGGATTCAGCTGAAATGTTTGTTACTATAAATAAATTCAAGTTTGTTCGTGGCATCAAAATTGAAATTTCAATATGGTTTCCATGTGCCCTCTTTGATTAAACACCATAAAAAAGTTTATAAAAAGAATTGAAAGGGCCACAGGCCTGAAACTTGCTAAATTTGGTAATTGTCTAGTTACTAGTGGCGTTAAACATATATTCAATTTGTATTTTGACCTTTGAACTTTGGTCCATGGAAATAATATCAAAATGCATTTCCTCTCACTTGTAAATGTCATCTCAGAAACCACTGGAATCAGTGAATTTGAAACTTAACATGCCTGTGCCCACCAGTGATGGTGCCCTAATTTGTTCAGGGGCTTTCTATCTGATTGTCATTATGGCCACCACAGCAGCCATATTGAAAATGCTTTTTAAAATATAATGCTATTTGGTACATGTAAAGTTCGTAGTAACGCTTAACATATATGTATTGTTTTTTCTATGATATTTTGATTTTTGACGTGATTTGTCCTTTGCACTTCGTTTATACTGAAAACTGGAACTTCTTATGGTCAATAATCATCTATTTTCTCTCAAAATGTAATGGCATTTGGTATTCATATATATATATATATATACCACGTGTAATTAGGAGGGGGATATTTCAACTATTTTGAAAAATTGTTTTTATGGCCCCATTAACTGCTCCTCCTTTTCTGCTCAGAGTGTACTGTTGCAACTTTGTATTCTACTGTGCATTCAATATTGTAGGTTAAGAGACATTTTAGATTATCAGCTACTTGTTTCATAGTTGTTAAATCAGTATTTATGCTGAAAATATTTTAAAAGAAATGTTGACAGCAACTTAGTTTAAGTGTCTGTCTTTATTGACATTTTAAAGTGTTGATTACATATCCAAGTGGGCTACAGTGCAGCAGCACTGTTTGTATTTGTGTAGCAATATACCATGCTTCTCAGTGCAAATCATGTGATGTGGTGAGGTCAGTAGATATGTAAAAGAACACCAGGTGTATGTGAATAATGGAAACAACAAAACAATCAAGTAATTAAGGGGAAAACCAAGAAAGGAACACTATATCTTATACACCCACTTTAAAGGTGGAAAAAGTAGTGTTGACTGTAAATCAATTGACAGCAATACCCTTTTCTTCAAAATAACTAGATAATAAAGAATGAAAAAGAGCAGTTAAATGTTTCTGCCAGCTGTCAGCTATGGTATGTTCTTCAATCAGGATACTTACTCGAGTAGAAACGTTACCACTGAACAAAGTTTTCTGATGGTTATGTGCTTAGTTATGCAACTATGATGTGACATTGTATTTTATGAGCTGATAACTAGGTACGACAAATATGCATCATGATCACCTCTCGTTTATTTGATTTTTGCATGTTAACATCAAGACACTATTATTTGTCATTACATGTAAACCAAATTTCATTAAATTGCTCAAAAGCCGCTCTAACTGGTTCAAATTCTTGCTTTCAGAAAAGACATGCAATGTAGATTATTTAATTGCATTTATTCTGTTCATTGTTGCAAACTATTGAATTTGTTTGTTATTGTACAGGGCGGTCGGATAGCCTAGTGGTTAAAGCGTTCGCTCGTCACGCCGAAGACCCGGGTTCGATTCCCGACATAGGTACAATGTGTGAAGCCCATTTCTGGTGTCCCCCGCCGTGATATTGCTGGAATATTGCTAAAAGCGGCGTAAAACCTCACTCACTCACTCACTGTTATTGTACATACACGTACACGGCTATCCTTATCCATCCTACTAAATTTTAGATGAACAGCAATTGTATATTGATTGGCTTTTTAAAAAAACCCTAAGCATTAA